AGTTGAGACGGATGAATCTTGAACTACTTGAAACATTATTTTGACTTATGTTAACATGCAATATATACATAAAGGTAAATGAACTTAACAAATGTTGAAAGCAATTACCTTTGTCCAATAATCAATTATACCTGCACAAAATTTTGTCTATTACATGTGTTTAGGAGCATATTTTGGAAAATCTATTTAGACAAATTCCCTTTGGGTATTTGCCCCCTCTTCTTCACTTTTTGCTCTTCATTTTGATATGTTATGTGTCTAAATCCGACATCGGAGTTCAAACTTATCTTGCTTTGAACATTTTTTGTTTTATTTTCATCATAAAACCCTAAACCACCTATATACTGTAATATACAAACTACAACAATAATAAAAAATGTAGGATTCACTACTACAAATAAGGCTTTTCAACTTTCAACGTTGGTTCTATATAACCGATGTGAAAAGTCTGATTTTTCAAATCGATAATTTTATTGATTTATAACCCCTCTATGTATCTAGAGGTCCTCCCTCTCTTTTATATTATATTTTTTAGAAATTTGAATCATTACCAGTACCTTAGAATTAGAGGTTGATACTCTAACCACTAAACTACTAGAATTTTCTCGATAATAACTTACAAATAAATTATATTTATATAAAAATAAATATATAAATATATCAAAATAAATATATAAATATATCAAAATATATAAATATATTTGTATTTATATATTTACACGGATATATATTTATTTGTATATAAATATAATTTATTTGTAAATTATTATCAGAAAATTCTCGTAGTTTAGTGGTTGGAATATCAGTCTCCAACACTAAGATATTGGGTTCGAATCTTTAGTGACAATTCTCTAACTTAAAATTAAAAGACTCTTCATGTCGGTTCATCTGGGAATCGATGTGGAAAATACTTTCTACATCGGTTGGTTAAAAAACTTTAACCGATGTTAAATGACGACGATTTATCTGGGAACCGATGTGGAAAGTACTTTCTACATAACTTAAAATTAAAATATTCTTCACGTCGGTTCATCTGGGAATCGATGTGGAAAATACTTTCTACATCAGTTGGTTAAAAAACTTTAACCGATATTAAATGACGACAGTTCATCTGGGAACCGATGTGAAAAATACTTTTTACATCAGTCAGTTGACGACGATTCATCTAGGAATCGATGTGGAAAATACTTTCTACATTAGTTTTTTTTTAAACTTTAATTGATGTTAAATGACGACGTAGAAAACATATTCTAAAAACATTTAATTTCAAAAGAAGTGATCACTCACAAGTTCTTGGATCGGTTGTTGTCGTCATCGTCACTCTAAAACTCTTACGTGCGTGAGAGGAAAAAAAGAAGTTCTTGGACGATTAAAATATGACTTTTACATTAGACTTCATAAAGATCGACATCAAAAGTTTTTTTTTACGTCGACATCTAAAAGGTCCTTCATAAAAATATCGTTACTTATTTATAAAATTATCATTATATTTTTTTAAATCGGTTATCTTTTTTGTCCCATGAAACTTAAATGATGTAAAAACCCATTTTGCCCTAGTATATCCAAACAAAATTTATTTTCAAGCTTAAGATTAAACCCAAAAACTAGATATTCACAATCTCAACAAAGGGGCCTTCATAAGTTTCACTTTTATTTGTAAAAAATATTGTGTGACAAACATTTTTCTTACTAATTGCGACATGATTTTTGTTGCAGTGGAAGATGAAGTTTAATGTACATATTAAGCATGGAGGATGAGATCATTGAGAGAAAGTTTCCCGGCTGAGAAGTCTTCAATTGAAAGCCCGACGCAACTACTATTCATCCATTTTGTACCAAATTCCTTTTATTAATTATAAGATTGGGTAATGGGGTTACTTTCATGTCCGGTGTCCAAGTAAAACTTCCCTTATGATCAAACGGTTACTTGGTCATTAGATGATACAATATTAAAGGATGTGATTTTTGAAATTTCGTTTAGAATTATAATTTATTATTACAAATTTTATATAAAAAGTTAAGTTATTTAAATACATATAAAGATAGAAGTTGTTTTTTTTTTTTCTAAGTCTTCAATTTTACTGTTTCTATTGTTATTATTTATTTATTTAATTTTCTCTTATCATCTTTCTTTTTGGTAGTTTTTATTTCGATTATATAATTTTTTTATTTTTTCAAATCATCCTACTTTTATCTTAATTTTTACTTTGATTAGTATAAATCTTCAATTATTTTATTCTTTGATTTATATTTTCGTCCATAATCTTGATTTCTTTTATATTTTTCTATTAATTTCTTACTTTTTTCGATTTTTTTGAATCATCTTGATATTTATCATTTCAATTTTTATCTTCTTTATCATCTTAATGGTTGATTTTTTTTTAACTTCAATAAATTTTTTCCAGCATATTTTTTAAATATATTTTAAAATTTATCAGTAATAAGGAGAAAGAAGGAGGTAAGGTAGAAATTAGCCGGTCCATTGCCTAATTTGCTTCGGACCAGTCACCATCTTTAATTATGCAAGGAAGAATCCTTGCACAAGTCTACACTAATGAATCTAAAAATAAGAAAACGCCACAATATGTTGTTTGTTGCGTCAATTTCTTGAAATATAGGCATAGAAATATAGGCGAATATATGAGATTAGGTGCTTGGTTACACACACATTCTGAAAATGTCAATTTCTTGAGATCGGAGGAGAGAGTTTTTCATTTTTTTTAAATGCTACAACCTAAATGTCATGACCTGCACCGAATAAAAGAGGTAAATTAATTAAAATATATACATTTAATTTGATTGGGTAGCTGCATAATATTAATTGTAAAAAATGAAAAACTCTTGGAGAAATGTTGTTGACTGTAGCCAGACCCATTCACCTTATTGTATGGGAACTCAACATTGTTTTTTTGCTGAGGAACTTGCGGGTTTGTTTCGGTCAATGAATACATAAAATGGCTAATGATTAATTATACGAGTTGTTGACGGACGACTCCTGCTAATTTCTCCGTTAGAGGGTTAGGAAATACAGCGACTTGTTATCTAACAAATGTAACCAATTAATTAATTAATTAAGCAAATCAATGAATCTTTCGTGTTTTCCCATCTTTCACAACACCAATTATTTCTTTTATTTTCTTCTTCTACAACTACAATTCTACTCCACCTAAAACTTCGCAACACCCGTTTATTCATATAATTAAAAACCTTAAATAAAGACACCAAATTTAGATTTGGAGTTTTTTTTTTCATGTAATTTATTCATTTTGGAGTGTTAAAATTTATTTATAGAATAAAAAAATTAACTATAATTTCTTTATAGGTAGTAGAATCAGTGTGCATCAAAATATTCTTTTATTAGTATATATAATATATAAATAAGTTATACATATTTGGAAAAAAATTTATAATTAACTAAATATCATAAACTCGAAAATATCAACCTTATTAAAAATATTATACAGAGGGCTGACGCTACTTACTAAAACGTCTAAACATGGAACCCAAAATTATATATTAAGATTGAATAACTATATGGATTTTAATTTCATTTGAGTATTATACTATTATAAATTATTTTTAATAATTAAAAAGCGGGTACTATGATGATAAAAAATTTTAGATCTATATCTTTAATTTTTATCTATGGTACTTCAATACGAGGTTAATCATGAACACTAACCTAAAAAGAGAACGAGAGTAAAGATTAAGAGAGAGAGAGAGAGAAAAATAAGCCATTTTTTTGTTTCTGATCAAATACCAGTAACAAGAGTTGAGAAAATAAAAGAAAACAGAGTATGAAAAAGGTTTAAAGGAGGTAAAAAAATAAAAAGTAAAATAAAGCTTGTACAAAGCTAACTAGTAGAATTTAATCATATAATTGAAGAGTATATATATATATATATATGATAAAAAGAATATAGAGAGAGGTCCCACAAGTAAAGAGTCAACAAGGTACCCGGGGGGTTTGGATCTGAAATGAGGTGGGTGGGGCCATGCAAAGAGTAGGTTACTTGGCCAACCAGTCTTCAGTCACCCTACGAAAGGGAGAGAGAGAGAGAGAAAGAGCCGGGCCGTCAAATTGGTTGACTTGGCTTTTGCTTTATTGTGTTTTGTTGTTGAATTTGTGTAGAGAGAGAGAGAGAGAGAGAGAGAGAAGGGGAAATTGGGATGATTTTCATCACGTGTAACGTTCCCGCACCAGTCGGGGGCGGTGGCTCTTTTTCTTCCTCATTTATGAGTCAGTCAAATCCTTTCTTCACGAAACCCAGACGAACCCCCCGCACGTCTATACTTTTCTCTCTCCCTTTTTCTTTTTCTTTTTTTTCTTCGCCAATTAAACCTCTTTTCCCTTTTTTAAAAGGAAACCAACAAATTCACTGTCGGGTCGGGTTTTCTTTTCTTCCTCGGGATTGCATTTCCATCACGCACTCCTAGTTCTCACTCTTGTCTTCAAGTACGGATTTCGTGGAAAAATATCGTTTCTCTTCTCTTAAAAAATATATATATAAGTTTGTATAATATTTATCAATTCCTATAAACTTAAACAAACAAAACATAAGGAAAAATAATAAAAATGTTAATATAATTAAAATAAAGTGTATTGATGGGGTTTTTGCATGGAGATTAGAGAGAAAAGAGATGGAATACGGGGCGGGTAAGAGGGTGTGAACTGGGAGGTGGAGTAAGTAAGAACTGTGGGCGGGTGCGTGTGGGAGAGTTAGACATTGTCCAGGCTGACGCACCATCTGGCGCAATAATTTACACAATTTCTCACAAATCGCCAAATTTTTATTTCCATTTGGTCCACGCTCCTTCAGTCCCCAACTCTTTTTATACCCTAATCCATTGCACCGGACAAAGACTTCATTTCCTGATACCACTACCACCCCTCTCTCTCTCTCTCTAGTTTTCATTTCATTGCCTTCTCTCTAGTTCATTCAATTCCATTTCTCTCATAATATCTAGCCACCCCTTTCTCGCTTCTTGTGCTTTTTTTTATGGACAAAAGATGGGGACTCACCCTTGATTCCTCTTCCTCTCAATCCCTCTCATTATTGCCTTCCAAACAATCTCCCTCTTCTTTCTCCAAACTCACCAACGACACCATGTTCCCTCTCCTCGGATTCCCCGTTAATCTTAGCCGCCCCACCGCCAAGGAAGACGAACACGACCGCAAAGTCGTCGGTGAAGTCGACTTCTTCTCTGATAGAATCACCAAACCAACACCCCCACCCTCCCACGACCAACACGTTAAACCCAACATCGTCAAGAAGGAAATTGTTGAAACCCCTCTCCACGTTAATGTAATTTACCTCCCCAACTCCTTATTTCTTTCTTCCATTTTATTTTTCTCCAAATCTTTGCCAATTATTTATTATTTTTGCTGCTAATTAAATTACTATTTCTCTCTCTCTCTCTCTCTCTCTCTCTAGACTGGTTTACAACTCCTTACTGCTAACACCGGGAGTGACCAATCTACCGTCGATGATGGGGTTTCATCGGATGCAGAAGATAAGCGAGCCAAAACCACTGAGGTGCATATTTTTATTTTATTTACATAAATCCTAGTGATACATGTCATGTTTGTGGTAATTTAAGTGTTCATTACCCATAAAATTGTGAAATTGATATATATATTGCTTGTTTATTCAGCTTGCACAGATGCAAGTGGAGCTTCAACGCATGAACGCAGAGAACAAGAAGCTGAAAGAGATGCTGAGCCATGTGAGCGGTAACTACACGGCCTTGCAGATGCATCTTATGACATTAATGCAACAGAACCAGCACACCGAGAGCACAGAAAATGAGGTACTTAGAAATTATATTTATTACTAGTTTCCTTGAATTGCCCTATATATATTTCTTTTTCTTTCTAATTATAAATAGTGTATAGAGGGAATTTATTTTATTTACATAAACGATCTAGGTTGGATTAATTTGGACATAATCATGCTGAAATTCAGGTTGTCCAGGGAAAGACCGAGGATAAAAACCATGGTATTGGTGGAGGAAAGGTTCCAAGGCAGTTCCTTGATATAGTTCCCAGTGGCACGGCCGAAGTAGATGATCAAGTGTCCGATTCTTCTTCCGATGAAAGAACACGATCGAGCACACCTCAGAACAATAACATTGAAGTTGGAGCAAGAGATGATGCGAGAAATATTAATGGCAAAAGAGAGTTGGGTAGGGAAGAGAGTCCAGACTCAGAATCACAAGGTTGGGCTTCCAATAAGCTTCAGAAAAATAACCCTTCCAATGGTATGGATCAGTCCACTACCGAAGCCACAATGAGAAAAGCTCGTGTCTCAGTTCGTGCCCGATCAGAAGCTCCCATGGTACGTATGATGCTATATATATATATATATGTTTTATCAGTTTATTATGCAATTTACAAACCATTAAAGCCAGTGCTGACTAGTAATTTTCTTCTCTAACTGAATGGATATCGTTGTTGCAGATCAGCGATGGGTGCCAATGGCGAAAGTATGGACAAAAAATGGCCAAGGGAAACCCATGTCCTCGAGCATATTATAGATGCACTATGGCAGTGGGTTGCCCAGTTCGCAAACAAGTGAGTTTTTCTGATTGATTAACGTATACAATTAGTACTATTATCAACAACATCTATTATAATATATTAAAGTGTTAAGAATTGTGGCTAAAGCTAATTTATATTTTTTTTATTAGGTTCAACGTTGTGCGGAGGATAGAACAATTTTGGTGACAACATATGAAGGTACACATAACCATCCGCTGCCACCTGCTGCTATGGCCATGGCATCAACCACTACAGCTGCTGCTAGCATGTTGCTGTCAGGGTCAATGTCCAGTGCAGACGGAATAATGAACCCAAATTTGCTAGCCAGAGCAATTCTTCCTTGCAATTCTAGCATGGCAACACTTTCAGCTTCAGCACCATTTCCAACCGTGACTTTGGACCTCACACACAACCCAAACCCATTACAATTTCAAAGACAAGCTGCCCCATTCCCAGTACCCTTCCTCCAAGGGCAGCCTCAGAACTTTGGGTCCGGAGCCACCCCAATTTCACAAGCACAATCACTTTATAATCAATCAAAATTCTCTGGTCTTCAGCTATCTCAGGAAGTAGGATCTTCCCACTTGGCCCCACAAGCTCCTAGACCACCCTTACAGCCAAGCCAGCAACCCTCGCAGGCTGATACAGTCAGTGCCGCCGCCGCCGCAATCACCGCCGATCCAAACTTCACCGCCGTCCTTGCCGCTGCCATCTCCTCCATCATAGGCGGTGCTCATAATGCAAACAACAACACCAATAACAACAACAGCACAAGCAGGACTACCATTAGCAGCTTTTCAGGAAACTGAAACTTTTTTCTTTTTGCTCCATTTTTTGGTTAATACTATTATTCCTTAAACTTTGGATTTTTGTACATGGGTAAAAGGGAAACGGACACGATAATGTTCATATTCTTATTAGACCATGTCTTGGGAGGGAGGGGTATATTAGATCAGAAAATGTTTCATTTTTTTGTACCATTTCTTTCTCGTTGAATAATGTTGTATATTTGATTCAAAAATTGTGGGAGTAAATAGATAGGGCAAATGAAGAATCGTCTTTTATCTTCTTCCTTTGTCATGTGGTTATCTTTTATTTTCTATCTTGGCCAGCATGCTTTCTGACAATATTGAAAACAACCTAGATGGTAACCCATCCCAAGAGAACAAAAAAGAAAAAGAAATTATATACCAACAGCCAATATTGAACGTGTTGCCAGGAATATTCGGATTTTCCAATTGGTCAAGAAATACGGCCATTACTACTTGAAATGGACACGTAAATGAATAGTTGTTCGATAGGAAGTAGTGATGGATAGGTGGACTTTAGTTAGGGTGAGGCACGCGGGTAAGTTTCTTGGCAACTTCGTGTGCCCTCGGTGTTCGTGTACACGAGAGTAATTGAAAATAATGAAGTGAATTGAATAGTGCTAATAGTAATAAATTAACGATAGGGTCAACTTAATAATTAATATATGTGATGGAAATGGAAAAGTGAGAGATGGTGGACGTTGATCGGAGAAAGTTAGATACAATTTTTGACTTTGTGTGGATGGACGTGGCGTCCACGTTAATGCTATTGATTGAACGAATCATGTGAGAGTATTTAAACTAGGAATGGAGCCAGACATGTCACCTTGTTGCCCTCGCACCGTACTGAACACACCGTACAAATGGGTCTTCATCAACTTTGTTTGACTCTATCCAAACCAAGGTGGTGACTTGCGTGATTGGAGAATCACCCGAGGAAATATAAATAGATATAATATTTTCTTTCTATGAACAGTTGAATCTAGGATCATGTGCTTCCATGTGAAGGAGGAAACTATTTTTTTATTTGCGATCAACTCCTTTTCACAAGAAGCTTAACACGGATGCAAGATATTGGGTTCATCTTACATGTGTTTATTCACATACTGTTCACACGTTCTTACTATAAAGGATACATTTTTTGGTAATAAATGATAATGAGCGTAACGTGGGCAGAGCATTTGAGTCAATTTCAATGACCATCGAGGATAAGATTTTCTAATCATGCGTGGTTCAATGATTTAGACGAGTAAAATGTTTTATACTAAAAAAAATATATTTGCACTTGATAAAAAATTAGCTACAAAACAACGGCTTCCTTTCAAAGTATGTGATATAAAACTATGACGCGTCACTGTGTAAATTTTATATTTCTAAAGTTATGATTTACTTTTATTTTAAGTAGAGGAGTTGTGTTGACTTAGACATTTGTCGTTAGAATCAATGTAAAAAAAAAAAAAAAACACATTGTTGTCATTAAATGTGAAGTGAAGCACAGATAGAATTGTAGAGTGAAGCAAAACAAAATGGTGTTGTATTTGGAATACTTTGACGCACATTAATTAAAATTAAAATTATATATGTATTTTTTTTAATTACTCTACAACAACTTTTAATTACTTAAATTTATCATCTGATTAGCCCATCATTAATAAGGGATTTATTAAATTGACCATTCAATAATATTAAAAAAAATTATATTTGCTTAGGTTTTTTATTTATTTTATGTCTAGTTAAGTTTTAACGTCAATAACGGAAAATATAAACTTTTTACAAATAATTTGATTGAGATAATTTTATATCGAATATTCCATAACACTAACGTAGATCGTGAAATGTCTTTCGAATAATATCGTCTTCCTCCAAATGCTTATATATTACATTTGTTTTCTTAGCATATATGTGGTTAACATTGTCCCATTCATTTCCACCATAATCCACACCACACCACTGATAGTGGTAGTATCTGCTGCAATCAATTTAGGAAATACATCTGAAAGGTGCAGTCATACATCGGAGTCACCACAATTAGTGGCTTCCTTAATAAAAATCAAACTTATCACTTTATTTCTCCTTCTCTGCATTCAAGTTTACTGGATTAATCACGAAATCCTTAACGTGATTCCGCAAAACACAATCTTCCTAGAGTAGTTGTTACACATTGTTCGTGTGCGACAACGACAACTTTATCTCGAATAAGATTTCGTGTGATCGAAGGTCCTTCACCATATGATCAAATGGAAACAAACCTAGCAAGAACCATACAATCCTATGATGAGAAAAAACTCAAATGAAAAACTCATTTTACATCAGTAGTTTTTGAATTATGAACTTGAAAAATTAAACTCATATTGTGCTAAGGCCTCATTGATTGATGTATATATATATATATATATATATATATATATATATATATATATATATATATATATATATATATATATATTTTAGAATTTAATTATGAGTTCAAAGTCTCACATTTGATAGAAATAGGAAAATTGAGTAACTTATAAATGAAAAAAACTCATAATCTGATGCCTTAAGGTTTTTTGTTGAAGGTAGTGTCATATTTCTTTATATGGTTGACTTGTATCCCATTTGTGAGAATATCTCTGTTTGTAGCTCCCTTCGAAAGACCTAATAGAGGTATCAGAGCTGATTGTTCGCTTGGTGACCATCTCAGTTGAGTACGATTAAAAGTAGGTGAAAGATCATATATTATGAATCATTGTGTCAAAAATATTCCTGACAAGGTTTTCAGACAAACAAGTAGGGGAAGATTATTGGGGACTAATAACAAAGATATTCTTACAAATGGGACACGAGCTAGTCATATAAGAGAATATGACACCATCTTTAACAAAAAACCTTATGGTTCATGTAGTAACCGACTTAGTTGAGTACAATTAAAAGTAGGTGAAAGATTCTATAGTATGGATTCTTGTGTCAAAAGTATTTCTAATAAAGCTTTCAGGCAAGCGAGTAGAAGGAGATTGTTGGGAACTAATAACAAGGTGGTTCTCCCAAATGGGACACAAGTCAACCATATAAGAGAATATGACACTAATTTAAACCTAAAAGCTTACAACATTAAGTTATGAGTCTTTCTTACTTATAAGCTACTCAACTTTCTCATTTCTATCCAATGTGAGACTTCAAACTCACACTTGAATTCTTAACAATCTCCTTCTCAAGTATGATTCTCTTTCACATTTGTACAATACCCCCTCGAGAAAACATTTTTTAACCATGAGTATCCAGTAGTAATCTTACTTGTACCGTCGTTTAACTCAATGAGATTTGCTTGAAAGTCTTGTCAGGAAGACTTTCAACACAATGATTCATAATATAGGATCTTTCACCTACTTTTAATTGTACTCAACAGAGTCGATCATCACATGGACCATTAACTTTGATACTAGTTGGATCTTTCGATGGGGTTAATAACAGAAAGATTCTCACAAATGGGACATGATTCAATCATATAAGAGAATATTGTTGGATAATCCAAGTGTGAGTTAAGTCTCACATTGAGTAAGAATGACAAAGTTGAACAACATATAAGAATGTATGACCCATAATTTAATGTCTTAAGATTTTTGGTTGAGAGTGATGTTGATTTTTTACGTGGGTTAGACTCATATCTCATTGGTGTTGTCTGTCCCCAGTTAATCCCCCTCGAAAGACCCCAACAAGTGGTATTAGAGCCGATGGTTGATCGGTAGTGGGTCAGAGTGAGTCAGGTAAGCATGTCCCGTTATAATGAACGGCGATACATGGAAGGGTTTTTAGTGTGTTCGAGGGGATGTAACAATGTGATGGAATTCACACTTGAGGGGGAGATTGTTGGGTAATCCAAGTGTGAGTTAAGTCCCACATTCTGTAAGAGTGAGAAAGTCGAGCAGCATATAAGAAAGAAATACCTATAACCCAATGTTTTAAGATTTTGAGTTGAGAGTGATATCAATTCTTATGTGGGTTGGACTGAGGTCTCATTGATGTTGTATTTCCCCAGTAACTTGAAGACCCAACAAGTGGTTGATTAGCAGTGGATTAGAGTGATATTTGTTTTGCAATTCTTCCTGACAAGGTCAGGTAAGCGTGTCCCAATATGATGAACGACTATACATGGAAGGGCTACAAATATGACACCACCTTCAACCCAAAACCTTAAAGTTTTTTATTTATAGTGGTGTCAATTTCTTATGTGAGTTGGATTCAAGTCTCATTGATGTTGTTTTACCGAGTGAATCCCCATTGAAAGACCAAATAGTAATATCATAACCGATGATTTATGTAGTGACTAACAATTTAAGAGTGATCTTTGTATCAAAAGTTTTCTTGATAGTGGGTCAGATAAGTGTGTTTTGTTATGATTAATAATTGTACATAAAAGAGCTACTAATGAGCTTGAAGGGATGCACCAATATAAAGGGACTTATTATTGAGGGAAAGATTGTTGGGTAATTCAAATGTGAGTCTGAGTCCAACATTAAGTAAATATGATAAAGTTGAGCAATATATAAGGAAAAAAGACTCATAATTCAATGTCTTAAGGTTTTGAGTTGAAATGATTTCAATTTCTTATGTGAGATGAACTAATATTTCATTGATGTTGTCTCTCCTCAGTAAATTTCTCTCGAAAGACCTAACAATATATATATATATATATATATATATATATATATGAAATATTTAGATTTGTGAACCTTTCTCACTTATATATATATATATATATATATATATATATATATATATATATATATATATATATATATATATATATATAAGTGAGAAATGTTCACAAATCTATTATCTTAAGATTTTAGATTGAATATGATTATATTCTCTTATGTGGTTATCTTGTCACTCTTTATTAAACTCAAAAGTAATGTTAATTAATCCCTTTAGAAAATGTTGACGAGGTATCAGTGGTATAATGATGACACGCTAAAATATAAAGTGAAGGTTACTATTTTGAAAAGCTTGTTCTATTGAGTTAAATAATGAATCTGATAAGAATATTTATTAAATATATGTATTTTAATGAGAGTTATAATTGAAGATATTTATAATTAAGAAATATTTTTATTAAGACGGATAATGTTTGTATGCATATAAAATCTTGAGGGAGATTCTTATAATTTAGATGTGAATAAAAATCTTAATAGAATTAGTAAACTTAATAAAATATAAGCAAAAAATATTCACAAATCAAAGTTTTAAATTGAAGAAAAAAATTAATTTTTTATATAACTATCTTATCTTCTTTCAAATAAACTTAACAAAGATGTTCACCCTTTATTTATTTATATATATATATATATATATATATATATATATATATATATATTAGAAAAGTCATTTATTAACTTAAAATAAATTAGCTTTCGTACTAAAATAAAATAGAAAATTTGAAATCATGGCCTAATTAAAAAAAACTTTACAACTCATCTTATGTTAGAGTACTCAACTAATCTCTGAATTTATTTACTACTTGTTTGTGTAGAAAGAAATCCTTGCGAGTAAGGGTGAAAATGCAGACTGATTCGCTCCATTTTTAACTTGTCGCGTGACTTGAAAAATATGACAAAACAGATTGATTCATACCAAGTTTGGAAGTGGAAAACCTTGATTCATCCAGTATTAGGTGCGAGCCTCGTATTATCGTATAACCTGTATAATTAATATTTTAATTGATTTTGTAATATTCTCATCCTATAATTTAAATTCTTAACTTTAAAATAATATTCTCTTCTTATAATTGTCAGAATTATTTTGTTGATATTTCTTAAAAATTATTATTCTAAATATGATTTATTTCTGTAAATAATATTATGTAGTGAGTAAATGTATTAATTTATAAATAATTTTTTACTATATTTATATTAATAATTTAATTTCTATTAAATAAAATTATAAAGATGAAATAAATAATATTTTCTTCACTAGATTAACCACAAAATCAATTATTTTTACATTAAAAATAGTAATTAAATTACTATTTTTATACGATAAAAATATATTTTTTAACAATTATATTTAATTAGATTTATTAAAAATATATTTTTAAAATAACAATATTTTTAAAATAGCTCTACAAAATTGAAAATTGTTTCTATTAAACTTTATCAAACATTTTTTCACTTTTTTCTCTTATAGTTGGGACAATGGATGGGTTATTCTAGAATCAGGAAACATTAGGATAAACAAGAATAATTCAATAATGGTGGCATTACAAGTGTCTCGTTCTTATTAGGTACCTTCATAACATTCATGTGATGCATCAAATCAAATCACCTTAGTCTCGTGCTGCCCCCACATCTCATCTATTCCATATTAATTGCATATGAATTATTATTATTATTATTATTATATACTTTTTAGTCTGTTATCATGATTTCATATAAGTACACATATGTTATATCCACTGAGCAATTTTAATTAATACCAATAATTAATAAACACATAGTATTTCAGTAAAATTTGTGTAAGCATTTTTTTCAAATACATAATTATTTTGAACTAAGAGTGTTATAAAGACTATTTTGAACTAAACAATTAGATAATTAAACTAAAGTAAACAAACAAAATTAAACTTAACTTCTTCTTTTTTTCATGACTGAAATAAACTATATATTAATTTAGTTTTTTTTTTAAACTAAACTATTATAATAAAATAGTTCATTACCAGACAAAAACTATTGTGTACTATATTTAAAGAACTGTTTTTAAGGTAAATTCACTCTAGTCTAGGTTTTTGTCTTAAACTAAAGCATGTACAGCTATATTATATACAACAATGTTAAAATATTAATATACAGTTGGCTTGTGGGCCTCTATTAAATTAAAATATATATATATATATATATATATATATATATATATATATAATTGTAACGTTGTTTGTTTTAAAAAATTAAATAAAAATACTAATTCACTCTTTCTCATAATTGTTTTGTATTTTAATTTTTTACAAAAAATTATAAAAAACTATTATGTTGTAAATATAATAGTAGAATATGTCATTATAGTTATGACATGGTTTTCGCAACAAATCTTGAGACCATTCAAACAGTAATTTTGCATAGGTGTTTTTTTTTTCTTTTTTCATTTTCGAGAATCATACAGTTACAAATTAAAAAACTTTAATTTTTAAAAAACCTTTGTATTATTTCATGTCTATCAAACAATTAAAAAAAAAATAAAAACTCCTTCCTTTCTTTTACATTTTATCTGTACCTAAAAGTCTATAGTTGTGTTGTTTGTTTACATGTTGACCTTTCATAGATACATTCAGGATTTTATCAACTCGTGTGTTCTAAGTTATTCAATGTTGTATCTTGAAATATTAATTTTAGACATATTTAAAAATAACCTTAAATACTTTTTTAATCTTTAATAAAGTTATTAATTTGCATTTAATACCCTAAAATTTTTCTATTCTATTAGTATTTAAGAAAAATAATAATATTTAGTCCCTAGGTTATATTATCTTAACACTAATGATCATCTACATATCCATCTGTATGTTATTTTTTAAAAATAAAATTATTTCTAATAATTTTATTAATTGTGTGTGTTTAGTTGATACTGCGAAAATCTAACTCTATACAAGCAAACAGGTTATCGAATGATATTCTTGAAAATATAAGATTCAAAGGAAAGTTTTTTTCCAGATATTATATTCTCGTGGAAATAATTTACGGAAATATTATGATTAAAAAATATTTTTAAATATATGTAAAAGTATGGTTTATTAATCTTTTATACTTTAAAAAATTAAACTATTATAATATAGATTAAATATAGTTTTTATATTTAATATTTATGAAAATAAAATATATTTAAAAATATTGTTTTCGTAATTTTCTAAACACATTCTCATTTTGGAAATGCGAAAAAGATTTTGAATACAGATGATGCATCTGTCCAAGGTCCAGCCCATTACACAATCTTTCGGTACCTATTAGAACGAACGGTCAATTATTAAAAAACTTACAAAAAAAATTAGAATAAATAAAAGTCCATGAAGTCAAAATCCAACAAAAACCACTGTGTGACCCAAATTTGAAAGAATAAAAAAGTTTCACTTTAGAAAGTTAGTTTAATATTATATTATCTATTTTTTGTTATTTATATTTCCCAATTTATTAAGTATTATCTTTTTTTTTAACAAAAAAATATGATTTTACATAAAAAAGAAACATCAAAATCGCATTTAGGTGTACTTTCCTAATTTTATATTCCATTTATTATTCCTTAAATTCTTTTTTTCACCGATCTTCACTATTCTGTAACCCTTCACGCATCATGAGTAATAGAATTTCATCACAAATTCTATTCACCATATTAAATAATATTGATTTCCTTCAAGATGATGAAGTTGTACGTATTTCATCATATATTGTGTGTTAACATCATGTATTGAAACATAATTTGCATTTTCTTTCTTTTTTAAGTCGCTGTCACAGTTACTTTTATTCTGAAACACGTATGCTTGTTTTATAAACTAGTTTTTTTACTCATTTTTCTGCTTTTCTTCGTCACAAACGTTAATGTATAATCTAGCTCATGTCCATAACTCTTTTGAATTAAAAAAAAAATTGATTTTAAAAGAATAAAAGATTCGACTAACACAGGAATTGACAAGAAAAAAAAAAGTACTCTCTTCAAAGAAAGTAAGAGATTCAAAAAGCGTGAAAATTGAAACAAAAAATAATCACATTTTTTTAGAAATACAAGGAAGTACTAACATTTAAAAAGAACAAAGGAGTCTGACAAAATGATATTTATTTGAAAAAAAATCATCAAAAGAAGGATAAATGGGTAATCTTGATGGCAAAAAGAAAAGAGGGAAGGGGGTGTACATAATAAATTAAAAGTATCATGGTTAACATGATTATTGCCAAATTTAGGCATTGAAAGTTCAAATATTGTACAAACGATTACAAACTTGTAAAAAAAAAAAAAGAGTCTCGTATGAGGAAGAGTTGAAGACTAATATGGCATTTTGATGTCCATACGCATTGGAATGAATTAGAATTATTGTGAAATAATGATTAAAGTGTAGAATAAACCAGAAATGGAGTTGTTTGCGAATCTCTTCTATGGCAACCTCACTAAACTGGGTTCTTACTTGCACTCCCATGCCACTCTCTTTCTATTATTTTCAACTTGAGCCTTTATCTTTGCTTCTTGGCAATGTCTTCAAAACTTGCTTCAACACGTTACCTTCTACTCCATCCTTTTTTTGCTCTTTCGTTTTTCTTACTCTTTCTTCAAAGGTCCCTTCTTTTCTTTCCCAAGTCCTCATCTGCTTACTTCTTTCCACCATTTTTCTATTATTTCTTAATTTATTAAAGGTAAGATCATGCCATTCATCCAACAATATACTCAACATAAAGGGCAAAAAACAAAACACAGATTTGACACCTTCCTTAGCTTTTCTTAATTTGATAATGTCTTTTCCATTCTCACAAATGATAGTCTTGATGCTTGCAAGTAGTAGTGACTAATGCTTCTAGCTAGGAAAACAAAAGTCTAAATTATTGTTTCGCTTACAAAGAACACAATTTGAATTGTTTTATTCATGCTTTTGTTTTTGGATTATTGGCTTGTTTTTTTTCTAGAAAGTTCTTAAATTTAACTTTCTCAATAAAATGTCAAACGAATTTTACCTTCTTAAATAAATTCGTCTCACTTAAATTGAATTAATTAAATATAATATAGATGCTAAGAATCTCAGTCTAAAAATTAAAATCAAATTATATATTTATGAAGAAATTAGAAGCCCATTTTTTTTAAAGAAGAGACCAGGAAGAGATAACACTACAAAAATTAACGTAGCTTTCAAAAAGGTACGTCGTTTTCTTTTAAAATAATGGAAAACACAAATGTAGTACTTGGTCAATGTAATTAAGAACTAGTCACACAAACTTTTCGGTAAACTTTTTTGGTGATAAAAGTAGAAAGTAAAAAAATGTAATCTCTTCATAAGCTAAAAATAACTTAAGCACAATTAAAAATAAAATTTTGAATAAGTTGTATGAAAAAATATTCTATAAATTGATTCAGGTATAAGCTAATTTTATTTTATAGAAAAACTAATTTTATTTTTTTTCTTCTCAAAAATCATATAAAAAACTCGTCTAACACGCCTTAACTCGAGAAGATAATATCCTAACTTCGTACGAGAAATAAGAAAATATATATTATTAGTAATATTTATAACTCTAGATCAATAAACAATTATGATAATACATGTATTTTAATATATATAATAAATATTTTTAATGATTTTTCTTACGAAGATATAAAACAATTTTCTCATAATTTCAACTAATTGATGTAATATAAAAAGTAAAAATCTTTAATTTTAAATAAATTTTTAAAATACATCTATTAAACACTTCTATTTGTGTTTAAATTTTTTTTTTAAAGTTAGTGTAAAGTTATGAAAATTAAAAATTTATCATGATAAGATTATTTAGTAAGTATTAGTAATACATCGTATACAAATTTATTTTTATATAACTAAAATTTATAACAACAAACGTTGTAAAATATGACTATGTTTTGCTTAGTTTATTTATGAAAACTTAAGAAAAAAATGAAATTGATTTTTCGACGGTAAAATATAAATTTATATAATTTTTTATATAGTTTTTTAAAAGTTTTTTAACGTGTATATATATATATATATATTAATTCTAATTAAATTTATCATAATTATTTTAAAATATATAAATTCTATTTATGTTTACAGTAAATAACTTATATAATTTGTAAGTATTTAATATATATTTTTAAAAATTAAAATTTAATTTAGACATTAAATAAAAAGGACGTTAAAAATTAGTTAAAAAATAAATATACGAAGTTGATAAGAATTCCAAACAAAATGACGGTGTTTAATTTTTAAAAGAATATTCATACTAAAATAATTTATAAAATCATTATTGTTTAATATATTTATTCCAATATGTAAAGAGGGAATATCTCAATTTTTTATAAAGCACCTCAAAAGTTATATATTATTAAAAAAATTTCACTATGTAGTCGTTAAATATAATTAAAAAGTCATATATACCTAAACGTTAAAGAATATTAAATTTGATCACTAGAAACTGAAAACTGAAACATAGAAACAGCAAGGGTGAGAAAGTGTGAATGAGTTGAATTCAGTTTAGTCATACTCATTATTTTAGTTTAAATAATTATTAATTAAAAATAAAAAACTATAATAAAATCTAACATATGTAACTATAATTTTAATTAAATATTTTGAAATGTTTTATTAAAGAAGTAATTAAGGAGAAGGAAACAATAATTAACTTTCGAGGCACGAAAGCGAGTCAGTTACATCCTAGGGTGTCACGAGAAACCCCACCCTCCGAATTCCTCCTCCTTAGGTTGATGAACGGTTAAAGATGCGGGACCCACAAGGTGTACGAGAATAGCTTAAAACCTCAGCTGGCCCCACCTCACTGTCACCCATAGCCAGATACTCACTTTCTCTTCTTCCAACCTTTAAATTCCCCTTCCCCTTCTCCTTCTCAATCCACTTCCATTAATTCTTTCTCTGCTTCCCTCTGCTTTGGTAATCCCATTCTTCTATCTTGTTTTCATTTTTTATATGCATGCATTGTTTGTTATGTCATTTCTTACTGTTCTTCTCTTCTCTTACATCATGTGACCATCTCTATAATCATTTTTTCAATAAAAAATTCGACTTTTATTTTTATTTATGACCATTATTCCATTGCATGCATCAATTAATGCGTTTTATGAAACATGCGCACTCATGTCCTCACAGTAATGGCGTTGTCGTTTTAATTGTGGCTTAACAGGTCAGTTAACATGGGAAACATGTCAAATGTGGTTGTCCTCTGCTTCTGTCTCTGGACCCTATTGTTTTCTCTGGTATCGTCTGCACCCAATGATGGCTTGCGTAGGATTGGACTGAGAAAGATCAAATTGGATAGCGATGACGTTATGCGGTTGAAGGAATTGCGGTGTTCGGATAGAAATAATGATCTTCAGGACATCCTTGGAGGTGCTGAGGACACCGATATTGTTGCGTTGAAGAATTACTTGGATGCTCAGTACTATGGTGAAATAGCCATTGGTACCCCTCCTCAGACGTTCACTGTGATTTTTGACACGGGTAGCTCTAATTTGTGGGTGCCATCTTCTAAATGTTACTTATCGGTGAGCTTGTTTTTCATAACCGTCTTATGAATGCGTGTCGGTTCTTTTCTCCCTCGTTTTGGTAACTTGTTAATCCTGGTGTTTTGCATGCTGGTGCAGCTTGCCTGTTACACACATGCTAAGTACAAGTCTAGCAAATCCAGCACCTACACAGAAAATGGTTGGTCTCCTTTTCTTTTTCTTCTGATTCTGAGGCTTTACCCCTGTTTGTTCAGAATTTATGGAGGTTTTGTAGTTCTTTAATACCACAATGCGTTGTGCAAGTGTTTGATCAACTCGTGATTGTATGATTAGTCATCAAGATTTATGTAATTTCAATAGAAACAAGTATGTACCCTTTCTAAACAATTTTAAAGCGGTTTTGGGGGGGTTGTCTGAATACTGTGCTTGTATTATATAAAATATCTAAATTTAGAGATTTTTACCATCTAGCCTTTTCACCTCATGGAATTGCAAAAGCATTACAATTTTTGTTTTTTTAAAGTATTTGCAATAGCAGTGTTGGAAAGTTCTTCTTTTCGTAACTATTTGTAATTTGGATTGGATGACATAATTCTTAACTTATGGAGTCAAACCTTTTTATTTATTTATTATTATTATTAATTTTACCTTGGGTTACTTGACATTGTGCACCTATAGAAGTGATGCCAGGATGTTGTCCTTATCCTAAATGAGGGTTTGTCTCCCTGTTATTTAGGGACTTCTGCTGCGATTCAATACGGCAGTGGAGCAATTTCTGGTTTCTTTAGCAATGACAATGTCAGAGTTGGTGACGTAGTTGTAAACAACCAGGTAATGCTGATTGTCAATCCCTATTTCCTTTTTTATTTTCCTTCACACCAACAGATTATGATGTCAGCTGAGTTGGCTTCTTTCATAATATGTCGATTAATCATCAATTAATATATATATAGTACGTTTTGATTTCCGTTAGGCATTTATTGAAGCAACTAGAGAACCTGGAGTTACATTTGTGGCAGCTAAGTTTGATGGTATACTAGGCCTTGGATTTCAAGAGATATCAGTTGGAAATGCTGTTCCAGTGTGGTATGTTCATATATAAACTTTAAGTTATCACTTCTGTTGTTGTTTTACTTTCTCTATGTCATTATGAGCCACTTTCATGTCAAAGGTACAATATGGTTGAACAAGGTGTTATAAAGGATCCAGTATTTTCATTTTGGTTAAATCGTAATCCAGAAGAAGAGAATGGGGGTCAGATTGTTTTTGGTGGCTCTGATCCTGCTCACTACAGGGGCAAACATACTTATGTACCAGTGACAAGAAAAGGATATTGGCAGGTCAGTATCAACTTATATGTTTATACAGTATACTTGTACTTTGTGATATATAGTACCCTTAAATACTTGACATACCTGGAATTAACTATATAATTGTATTATTTGTGGTATACATGGTTCTATACCCAATACTTATCACTCAAGTACATTTTAGTTCATGCATAACAAGTTCTGTTGGTTTGTAGTTTTAATACATTATTGTTTTTGTTTTTATATTTCTATATGATATATCTCCTCATACACTAAAACTTTTACTGCTTTCCCATACTTGAATTTGTAGCAATACTGACACTCATACCTGTATTCATGCAACACAGCTTATGTAACACGTGTTTTTGTTTTGTTTTCACTAGTTTTCTTTTTAACTATTTTTTCCTAAACAGTTTGACATGGGAGAGGTGCTTATTGCCGGTAAACCGACTGGTACGTGTAGAAAACAAGTTAGCGGAAATACCTATTTGTTTCTGATAGCACTGCCATAAATGGTTCAGGGTTTTATTTCATTGGTACTGACTTCATCATATTGTCATCCAGGATTCTGTTCTAGTGACTGTTCTGCAATTGCGGACTCTGGAACTTCTTTGTTGGCTGGTCCAACGGTATGAACAAATGCTTATAAATGCAGGCTGCTATTTAAATTTTCATTTTCATTTAGAGTTTCAGGTTTTGTAATTTTTAAAGCATGCTTTTAACTAATGGTACAAATGAGAAAATGTTGAACAAATGCTGAACAGCTTGTTTATATGATCAAATACATGGTTTTGTCTTTTTAGACTGTGATTACTGAGATAAATCAAGCAATTGGAGCATCTGGAGTTGTAAGCAAAGAATGCAAGTCTGTGGTCCAACAGTATGGACAAACAATCTTGGCATTGCTCTTAACTGAAGTAAGTAGCATTTTTAATTCATCCTAGGCATATCTTGGTTGATGGGATTCTTGTCTATGGTCAGCGTGATATGGTAATCTTTTAGAATGAGTTTTCTTAAGGTTTTCACTGGATCGTGTAGGCAAAGCCTGAAAAAATCTGCTCACAAATTGGATTGTGTTCCTTGACTCGTGGTGTTGGGTAAGCACCAAAGATAATAAACATAATATATTTAATGTTCTCTGATTGACATTTTACTAAATAGTTCCAATATCAATTTCAATTTTTCCTTTAGCATGGGTATTGAGAGTGTTGTGGATAAGAACGAAAGAAAATCATCGGGTGGCATTCGGGATGCTGCTTGTTCAACATGTGAGATGGCTGTTATTTGGATGCAGAACCAGCTGAGGCAGAATCAGACAGAAGATCGGATAATAGACTATGTCAATGGGGTGAGTTAGTCTTAATTCCGCTATTTGAGCACTCAAATCTTGCTTTTGATTCTAGCCTTAATGGCTAATGCCTTCTGATGATGATACTGCAGCTTTGTGATAAGTTGCCCAGCCCAATGGGACAATCATCCGTTGATTGTGGAAAACTCTCTTCAATGCCTATTGTTTCCTTCACTATTGGTGGAAAAGTTTTTGACCTTTCTCCAGAGGAGGTATGATTCAAACCCAATTAGTTACTTTTGCAAGGGCTGATCACTGAATGTGCACAATTTTGTGCAAGAAGAATTTGCAACGAGAAAAAGGAATTTAATTGTTGGGAGGCAAAAAATAATGGACTAGGAGATAAAATAAGTTTGTGAAGCTACATTGTGCTTAGCGAAGTCCTCAAGTTGCAATAACAATTTGCAAGTCTAATCATTGACCATTCACTACTGAAATAATGGGATGAATCATAGGGGTTTAAATCAAACTAAGACAACCTTATCCTTTGAATCCCACTAAAACATTGTTTTCCTAAGTTTCCCCTAAATACGGGTGGTGACTAGTGAATATTGTTTCAATGTGGCGGGGGACAAATCCAGAAAGACCGAATAACCTTTTCTCTTTGTTGGTTGAACAATATTTTCTATTTGTTACTTTACAATTGGTTCAACTAAAATTAGAATAAAATAGAAGGTGTAGCAGGCAGAACAAAGCATAAAAAAGCAGGGGTTTCAGCTGCTACTACAGTGATAACTTATACAATGGTGCAATTTCAATGAATGAATGATTGCCAAGTTCCATGTATTTCGTGTCTCTCATTCAGTTTTCTATTTGGTTTCTTCAGTATATACTGAAGGTGGGAGAAGGTCCTGAAGCCCAATGCATCAGTGGTTTCATTGCTATGGATGTGCCTCCTCCTCGTGGCCCTCTATGGTACATTAAACTTAAATTTGCTTACGACATACACTATGGGATTTTCCCTTTGATTGTGATGCATTTGATATGATTCTCACTTCATTACACATGCATAATGCAGGATCCTTGGAGATGTCTTCATGGGGAGCTATCACACCATATTTGATTATGGTCAGCAGAGAGTCGGATTCGCTAAAGCTGCATAGAGAATGTTCTGGTGTCACAGAATGGCAACAATACTTTTCTAGTTTTTTTTTTTTTTTCTGTTTCAAAAAAAAAAAAACTCATTTATTTGCAACCATTTTCAGCTTTTATAGTTTGTATACCTTTGCAATCAAAATTGGCCTAAAACTATGGTTGTATATATATTAATATTGTCGCAGTCCCTCCTCAATGTATTACACAGCTTAACAGATGTATGGGTGGGGCTCATAGGCTGTGGCCATTATAGGGGCTCTACTATGTATGCTTGCTTGTTGAATGTTGTAAATGTGACGTTTGTGTTGCTTATTTTAATTTCTTTCAAACTGCACATAAATAGTACTATAAAAAGAAGAAGACAACAATGCATATAAAAAGAATTAAAAAGGAAGGTGTGTCAGATATAGATGCTTCAAACTATGTTACAAGTATGACGTTAGAAGTTATTATACAGTAATAATGTCAATGTGTATACAGCTCAGTTGCTACCGTCTCTAGGTGTGTAGTGATGATAAAAGAACATCTAATTTTATTATTAGGCAAACGGTAAATCTTTTAAAAAATGAAAATTAATCAACAGCCCAATTGCTACCCACCCAAGTTGTTCAGAAAATTACTATAAGAATTTAAATAGAAAATTACAAAACTGCTAATTAGACACAATAAATAATAATTTATGATTAAGTTAAAAGTAAACATCATAGATGAATATTTATAACTAGCTTTTTACTCAACACAAATAAATTTTAACCATATTGACAAGTAAATTATCATATGTCTGCACATGAATCGCTTGACCTATGAGTAAGTAACCAAATTTTGCGCCAAAACATGGATATTTTAAATAGGATCAACTATCTTGTATGCATACAGAGTTTGACTTCTCTATTATGTTTGTAGTACTCAGTCTCTCCTGTGTTAGATTAAATAAAATCTTCATTATTTAATTTTATTTAATCATAATAACTTGTAATTAATGGTGATTAATATAATACAGCAATTAACTTAGGCAAAACAACTACATCTAACTAGCTCTTTCTCTTATAGAATTTGATTTAAGGTTTTGAGTTTGTAGCGGTCTCCACAAGGATCTTTACACCGTTTATACCAACTCAAACATTGTTTACGATTTCACAACTTACAATTCCATTTCTCATGCTCAAAATAAGTTTATAAACATAGACTTTCACTACAGGGAAAAGTTGCCTCTAGTCTTCTTCAAATTCACTATATGCTCTTACCAACCTCTAAGTCGCTCATGCTCCACCCAATCTTTGTCATCTTCAAGGTAGGTTTGTTGTTTTATGTAACTTATTTCACTCATTTATTGAAATTGTTATTATTAGGTGATTTGCTATAGCATGTTGTGATTAATTGATTGGTTGTATTGGTACACTATATAATGATGTAATTTGCTATTTTCTATATAAATAAAGTTCTCCCTCGCTGGCTAGCTCAGAGGTTGCATTTCTTACTAATTTTTTGGTGTCATATAGGTAACAAACGACAGGAACACATCTGAAAACAAGAGCACATACATAATAAGGATCACTTCTTTTATTGATAAAAATCAAATTAAAAATGAATGATAAGCATAGATATTGCAGAGATAATGTTACTGTTCTGGCATTACAAGAAGGAAGGTACTAGTTGGAGCTTTAAGATTAAGGAAGGTGGCGTGGATTGAGGGTGGAGCCAACTCAATTGGCTTGGTAGAGTTATTTATATGTGGAGTTAAGAAGGTGAGGTGTGCATGACTAAGAGTGTGAGGCAAGCATAGGGTCCGTTTGGGATGATAGATTAAATTAAGTTGGAAAGGTAAAGCAGATTATGTATAGTGGATTATGCAGCGTGATCCGATGCATGCATTGCATTGCAGACTCAGAAGCGGAGGAATCAAAGCAAAGACTGGTATTAGCAATAAAAATGGTTGGCGGCATGTGATGTGATGATATGATAGAGACTTTAATCATTGGTTTCCTTCAAATTGACTCTTCCTTGGATGCCCTCACATTACGCACGCAAAGTGTCAACGCCTACGCTCTCCCTCCCTCCACTTTCACCTTTCTTTCAACAACACACAACACACAACACTTCAACACTCTCCTTCACAATGTGTCTTTATCCTTCTCCCTCCCTCGTTTAATTTGTTAGTTAACTACTACTACACCACAATGTGAATGTGAATGGACAGGCTGGTTGGTATTTTTAAACCAGTGGTGGTGATTAGACTTGGTGCAGGCAGTTAGTTGGCTTTGGCCTTTTCTTCTTTATCCACATTCCAACTGTCCAATACGCGCAAACCAGCATCCTTGCCTTTCAGCCTTTCAACCTTTCACCACTCCTTGCGCTTTACACTCATCATCATGTATTAACTTCTGTCTTTTCCTCCCTCTCTCTCCCTCTTAGTGGGTTTTTGCCTTTAAATTGACTTTCACTGTTGCCATTTGATTCATTTGCTTAGCAGACAATCCACCTAACTTACCACATGAACCGCTAGTTCGTTTAAAATAAAGCACCCTTTTGACTTCAAAATTAATCCGGAAGACGTACGTGATTGATTAAGAGGGAAGAAAGAGGGCGTGTGTAAGAATTAATGTATACTTCCAGTCAATAATTGCCATTCACCATATTGTTTAGGCATACAGTAGGAGGTCAAAGTACAATATGTGAATTCATCAATTTCACCATATGGGATTTTATTTTCATAAGCATATTCTAGATACTGATAAATCAAAGGGTTCAAGCATTGTTCGACACAACCCATCTATCGTTGACACCACCATAATTCTACCACCAAGGCAAGAAGGACCAATGACATTGTTTAATGTTTACGAGCGACACATAGAACAAGTGAGTCCCTTCACACAGAATTTGAGGCGGGGCGACGAAATCCAAAGCATATTTTTTCTCTCCTTGGTGGGTCCTCAAAGATGACACAAAATTTTTAACAGTATCAGATAGCCAAGGAAAATGGCAGTACAATATTGTCCCCCTAATTCCCTGGTAACTACCTCATGATTCACGAAGCACGCTGAGTGACTAACACCGCAATCTTTGGCTCTCACCCCTTCACAGGATGAAGCACGTGCCAGCATGTGCACCGTCTCCTTAAAACCTAGCTAGCTCATCCATTCATTAATTATTCATGTATTCATGTCTGTCTAAAGCCAAGTATAACAGAGGCATAGCCATAGCCTGGCCGGCCAACAACAAGAAGAACAAAAGCTCGCACACCCCACCATCCCTTTGACACCTGGACTCCTCCCATCACAAGATCGTGAAAGGACAAGACGGCGGCCGTCCACTGGACACAATCAAAAAAGTGCAATGCAAACAAAAATTAAACCCTTTCCACATCATCATAACTTCTTTTCTTACCCTCTACATTAAGCCAACCACAACACACCAAAACCAAAACCAAAACCAAAACCTTTACCTTTACCTTAACCTTCCCACACACGTATATAAATCTTCAGTTTCAGAAACTTATCTCCCAACTACATCCCACTATAATGCTATAATTAACATCCCAACTTCATTCACTCCCTTCTCACCTTATACTCTCTCACAAGTATACTGTCACAACTTAAAGATTAATCTTTTCGAGATCTTCATGGAGTGGACCAGAGGCCACATGCTCGGCCGTGGTTCCACCGCGGCGGTCTACATCGCCATGTCCTGTAGCTCCGATAGAGTGTTTGCGGTGAAGTCGGCCGAGCTCCACCGGTCGGAATTCCTCAGAAGGGAGGAGATGATTCTTTCCACACTCAAGTGTCCTCAAATTGTGGCATACCAAGGTTGTGACACCACGTTTGAGAACGGTGCTTACTTGTTCAACATGTTCATGGAGTACGCGCCTCACGGGACGCTGGCGGAGCGCGGTGGTGGCATGGATGAAGCAATGGTAGGGTCCTACACGCGCCAAATTCTGCAGGGGCTGCAGTACCTCCACTCCAATGGGATAGTGCATTGCGACGTGAAGGGGCAGAACGTGTTGGTGACGGAGCAGGGGGTGAAAATTGCGGACTTGGGTTGCGCTCGGAGGGTGGGGGAGCCATCGGCGATCGCTGGTACACCGGCGTTCATGGCGCCGGAGGTGGCGCGTGGGGAGCAGCAGGGGTTCCCTGCTGACGTGTGGGCTCTGGGGTGCACGGTGCTGGAGATGATTACCGGGAAGCCACCATGGCACGGAAGCGGTGACCCAGCTGCGGTGGTTTACAGGATCGGGTTCTTTGAAGAATTGCCGGAGATTCCTAGTTTTGTGTCGGAGCAGGGGAGGGACTTTTTGGGGAAGTGTTTAAAGAGGGACCCAAATGAGAGGTGGTCGGTGGAGGATCTTCTTGGACACGGTTTTGTTAAGGAATGCATGGAATTGAAGTTGTTTTCGTTGGATTCAGACACTCCCACTAGTGTGTTGGAACGAGGATTTTGGGATACATTGGAGACAAGTCAGCAAGGAGCACGTGATTGTCCCTCTCCTAGGGACAGAATTCGTAGGTTGTTTTCGGATGAACCCCTTTGGGTATGGAACAACGATGATGATAATAATGATGAACAATGGGTCACGGTGAGGAGCAATGAGGTCCATGAAGGGTTATCCCTTCCCAAAACGGACAGTACATTTTGTAATATGGTTAGTGATGAGGAGAACGGTTCAGTAAGCTTTTGTGAACCTGAAACTGTAGTATCAACTGTAGTTACATTGGGTAGATGGAATGCTATAAATTGTGATGATTGTTATCTTAGAGGCAGAAACTCTGAGTTTTGCTGCAGAGAATCATTATTGTCAGTTTGTGTGTGTCCAGTGATTGTTCTCCATGGAAAATTTTATTCTCAGGATATGGGAGTTCTTATTTTATCATGCACTGCTTTCTTATTCTTCTCTCTGTCACTCTCTTTAATTCCACTTTGTTTGGATGGGTTAAACACTTTTCATTTTCATCAGTATAATATAATATGGGATAATGTGTGCGCCACATAACGAATAATATATACACTATTATCTTAATCCCATCCATAACTAATAGCCTGTGTCTGGCTTTGTGACTCATCACGCACAGTGAGTTCAATTAATAAGTATCAGATAAATTTTGAATGTTATCAATTTGGTCTTTTTTCATCGGAAAAAAGGCAATAGGGATTTCCTTAAAATTTCAGTTGTTAAATGTAAACATGAGCATTTGGTTGTAGTTCATTTGATTGTTCTCCTCCTGATTGTGACAGCAAGTTATTCTACCCTATCCCAACTTATTCTGGCTAATTTCTAATTTCTCACATTAAGTGCTTCAAAAACAGCATGCTAGGATCTTATTTTTGGGGCTCTTAATTATTTTCTTGCATGTATCACCATTTAGGTTAACGACTTTAGTGCCCACAACTTAAAAATAAAATAAAATAATATATATATATATATATATCTAAAATAAAATAAAACTGTCCAATATAAAGCACATATGTTATCTATTTACAAACTCTTAATTACATTTTTTTATTTTATTATAAAAATAAGGTTATTTTTATTTTTCAGCAACTTTTTTGTTTTTCCATTTTCTCTATTATGCTTAGATCATGGGATATTCATTAAATAAACTTTGATCTAAACTAATGTATTGTAGTTGCTGTTACTTAGAAGAAGGTTAATTATATTTTATGAATGATCATGTTCCTAATGGAGAAAAGTGACTTGTAAAAGCTCTCTAATATTTAAGTTGGTATATATGAATGGACAGAGAGTAAGATTAAATGAGTAATAAGAAAAATATCATATATATTTTTATAAGATAATATCGAGTATAAATCAGATATTTATTTTTATTTTACAAAGTCTATTATTTTTTCCTCAAGTAATTTTTTAAAAATTATAAGATATTTATTTTTATTTTACTAAATATAAATATATTATTAACCAAATATCAAATATTTTGATTAATTATTTTAATAATTAGATCCAATAATTACATTAATAAATTTATGTATAGAAAATCTAAATCTTATCTAACGCTCTCTGTTTTACATATATATATATATATATATATATATATATATATATATATATATATATATATATATATATATATATATATATATATATATATATATATTTGTGTAAACGTATATAGGTTCATGAACTTTGTCAGATTACTTGAGTAGTTTGAAATTTTGCATTAGTTGTTATGAGATTAATAGCGCTAATATCAATTTGTACTCTAATGCACTTGCTTTAGTTCTTTTACTATGTCAAACAAATGTTACGGACTCAACTTATCTTCACAAAATGTAATTATAAATATAATAAAATAATTTATTTATTTATAATATAATAATTCATTTTAATTATTAGATTATAACAAAATAAATTATAATAAACAAATAATTGAAACTAACTAAATATCCCTTTAAATAAATATATATTATATTTATTATATAAAAATACAACAAATACTTTTTAATGAAAAAATCACGTTTAATTATCTAAAAGATTAATGTCAACAAATTTGATTGTTTGCATGATGTGTGTAGGATTAATTTTGTATGCACTTGTTTCTACCTAATTTTTCTTGCTTTGATGGGAATCTGAAGGACAAAAAGGGTCATTGATGTTGATGCAAATGTTAAAGCAATGCATGGCTATGCTTTCAAAAAGTGAGAAGATGTCTCCTTTATCCAACAAAGCAGAACTCACCAACCTTAGCAACTCCTTATTATATTTATTTTATGTGTGTGTATGTTATTTATCACATTTATCAATTTCAATAATCTCTTTTAATTCCACGCAGAAAAGAATAAGAGGCCAAATGTCCCAAGTATAGTTGTGTATTCTCCTTGTTCAGATTCTTAGAACTGCAGAGTTTTTCTTTTTAGACTTGGCCCATATTAGTTATTCATTATTTGACTATTTAACCAGTTTTTTTAGTCCAAACGACAGAAATAGCCACTCCATTAGTGGCTTAGAAGCAGAAAAAAAAGTACTTTGTACCAAAAAAAAAAAACAGAAGCTGAGTCGTCACTTTACATATGAACTTCTCAACAATCACATATAAAAGAAATAATATTTAATGAATTAAAAATAAATCAAACTTTTCAAATAAGTTAAAAGTTAATTTATGTATAATATATTTTTCAAAAATGATCTCATCTCACATTTATGTATAATGTCTTTTTCTTTTATAAAATATGTAACATAATGTCCTTTTCATAATAAAACTGTCTAAATCCAAAAGAAATAATATCTGCAAAAATTTGTTGTGGGTCTTGTCATTTTTTTCTTGAAGTACCTGGGCCAGAGTACACGGGGTCTGCCTTTGATTAAAGGATTAAGACTAGTGCATTATATGGTGGGTATATGGTAGATTAAGAAAATAAGCATGACCACAAAAATGAACAAGTAATAAGTGAATGGCCATGAAGAGATTTCTCTCTGGACCAAGAGAGACATCACTTAAATAGGATAAATGATAAACAAAATTAAGTGCTAAGAGATAACTTTAATACCATCAAAAGCTATTCGTGGGCACATGCCCTCAGTTTGTCGAATCTTAAATAGTGAAACAGAAGTTGCAAAAGTTACATATGTGCAGAAAAAACAAATCAACACTATATTTTCTGTCATCACTCAAAAAATTCACAATTTGTCAGGACAAAATTGATCCAAATTCAACTAAAAGTAAAAATCGTATTCCTTGAGAGCAAGCATGCAAGGATTGACAAGATGTTATGAACAAACTGCCATGGAACTCCCAAAGAGTACACAAGAAGAAGACATTCCTACCAGCAATGTTTCTTACATATTCTTCTTGGAACCTGAATGTGACAATTTCCTGTCCAAGGATTTTAGTTGGTTGCGTAGGTTCTGGTTTTCCTCAAGTAAGCGATCATACTCAAGAAGGAAACCCTCAGATTGTTTTCTCAGGGCAGATACATTGGCTACTGCAACATCTGCATCTTTAACTTTTGACTGTACTTCAGATTGTAGGCGCCTACGTTCAGCTCTCAATCTAGCTCTTTCTTCCTCCACACCCTTCATTTCTTCTGCAAAGGTATATTTCCCATCTTCAGACTCTCTTGTTTGTTTCTTGACAGCTTCCATGCCCTTTCTACGAATCCGCAGTTCTCTTATGTAATGATGTAGTCTGTCTATCATAAGCGCAAGAAAAAGGATAGCACCTGCAAATAATTGTCCAAAGATGAATGATGCGCACTTGCCATGGAGCAGGTTTAATATTTCAGAAACATTACAGAGAAAATAGGTCCAGGAACTCAGAACACTATCATGTGGGATGGATTGGAGCAGCATTTCACTCTAGTCATGATGTTTTTAAGATGTGACCAGTGTTATGATATATCAATGGCATAAAAATTCTTGTCAGCAAAGAAAATTATGTTAACCGTGATATAATTCATATAGGATACTTCATTGAACAGGAATCATTCGTTTCTGAAAATATTGTCCATTAAAAAAGAACATTGTGAGAAGATTTGTCTATAGAAGATGCTTATAAGAAGCCAGAAAAACACTATAGAAGAAACCACTAGGGTTAAGCACTGTGAAACTAGTAAAATGGTTGAGCTTCATTTACAAGCATGCGGCCAAATTGGAGCCCCTTTTCACGCATTCGTGCAGTCAGTGAATCGGACTGTCGGATAAAATTAGATGGGTCAAATCTCAAATGTGTATTTTAAGTCTGATTTACCAGATAGATTGAGTCATTTGATCTCCATTCGATGATTCGGATATACTAACGGTGTAATAGCTTGAAAAATCTGAATCTGCCCCTTCTCTTTTTTCCTTTTTAAAGGGGGAAATGTTGATCCAACTGAGCACAGGCAAGTAAAAACAATGTAATTCCTTGTCGACGTAAACAATATGAAGGAACAACAAGTAATGTCTCCATGAATGTGAGTCCAATGCCTCACAAAAGGAGTCAACAAAACAAAGATTCGTTTGTTAACATTTCGAATCAGACCATACAAGCTCACATTCATAATCCACAGCACTTCCCAACAACAAAGTTTAACACCATAGACAATGACACAACTAAATGCTTTCTGATTGTGAGAGAAAATAAAATAAAATTCCAACATTGAAAACCATACACATCAGATTCCTATTATTAAATCCCTACCCAAAAAAAAGTCATCCTTTTCTCCGAGTCACATTGCTCAAGGTGTTCCAACATACAAACTTGGGAAGAAAAGAAATAAACCAGTAGCATATAAATAGAAACATAGACATTCCAAGAAGGACCCAACAAAACAAATTACAAACCTAGTGCAGGGAATGAATTGATTTAATTATCCATGCAAGTAAATTACACACAAATGAATCAGATCAGGAATTGAGAAGATAAATCAAATGAAGCAAAACAAGAAAAGGGAACACAAATACCCATGAGTGTTGCTTCAAGGAGATGCCTGGCCATGAGAACCTGATCGGTGGGATTAACAGAACCACCCTCCTCAATCTCACGCTTCTGAATCTTCACCATGCTGTACACACTCGAGAGGAGCACCACGAGAATGGTCCCTGCTACGGTCTTCACAATCAAGGGTCCACGACCCCGCTTCAACCGATCCAGCCCCATTATCACAAGCTTCCTCAACGGGGTCTTGAACAGCAGCAAAGCTATCATCGCGGCCTCCGAAAATATCAACGTGAACAGAAGCTGAATCATCTTCCCAATTCAAATCCTTCACTTCACCCTCACAATTCACAATGGGATCAGAGAAAAATAACAGATTTATGGGGCCGTGAGAGGTTGTACGTCACTGTCATCAATCTTAAATCGCAGCAGATAAGATAATAAAAAAAAATTAAAAAGAAAGAAAGAAAAAAAGAGTGACAGACAGAGAGAAGAGAAGTGAGACCCTTTCAAAAGCAGAAGGACAATTGAATTTCAAGGCAGGAACAAAATTTGGGGTTCCAACCTTAAAAAGATATTTTATTATTTCTCACCAAGTCCTTGTACTTTCTCTTGTCTAAGGTTTTCAATTTTCTGCTTTTGTGTCTTTTGCATTGTATTATCCTATATTACATTTTTAGATCGGTTCGTGCACAGAAACGAGTTTTTTTTCTGTTACGACACTCAATACATTTTATTATGATTTACACTTGTTTCACCTTACTTTTACTTTTTGTTATATTGGATAATGAGTAGCTTACACAAAAATAGCACCAGAACTGAATTGCAAGCATGTCATTTCTTAAGATATTTTTTCCAATTTTTTAAAAGATTCTTCTGTTTAGGAATCAGTAGCTTAATTCTCACGAATTATTATTTGTTTTTGAAAATTTTAACTCATAAAACTTTTATTCTTAACAATACTTTGATAAAATTTTAGTATATTTTTTATTTTATAATTTTAATTCGCCTCAATTTTATTTTTAAAATACATCGTAAATATATACAAAATATTCTTCATCTTGAGTTCTGACAAATATGAACAAAATTAAAAGGATAATATGTTAATAATTAAATTGGTTATATATAATCAATTAATAACTTGTTTTAACACTATATAATAATGTATTTATTAAAATCAATTGATTATTCGTAACTAACATATTATATATATATATATATTACTAACAAATAATTATGAAAGTAAACTTCAAAATAAAGTAATATTCGTCAATCTTTTTTTATTTTATTTTTACATAATGCGCATGGAGTAATCGATGAAGGGTTCTTGGTAAATTATAGAAACCAGTTATATCGTATAACCTTATTATGACGTAGAATTCGGTAAGTTATGATAATTAGGAAAAAAAAAGTCGATAGCCAGAAATATTCTACTTCAAACTCTTGAGTATATAAGATCTAAGTATAGGGTTAAATTAATTAAACTTAAATAGATTAGCTTAATTAAGTTGAGTAATTTAAAAATAATTATATATTAAGAAATAATATTTCAAAATAAATATATTTAATAATTATAAGATAGCAATAATATGTATAGTATATATATAAATAATATTCAAATAATAAAATATAAAATTATTTTTACAATAAAAATACTAGGAAAATAATAATTTTTTACTATCAGATTGAGTTGATTTTAAAATTCACTATCTCCTAATTCAGATATATTAAATAAAACTAAATCCAATTAAATGATTCAATCAAACTCATAAAAATTAATTGAATTATTAAATTGAATTAATTCATATATTGTAAACAATCTATCATGTGTGTTTAAAGGAAATAAATTTATTAAATTAAAAACATTGAGTTTCTTCTCCTTCGTTTTAATTTAACCTTATCAGTTTTCCTTGTTTCTGCTTCCTATGTCTCAACACCTACTTTTGGGTAGATAGGAATGGTAGGTACCTAATATTATTACCTCAAATTCTACCTTCTCGTATTTTTCCACATTCTACAAATGTCATGATTCTATCAATTATATTGATGGAACAGTGATATACAATTGAACAAACATTTCCGAAAATATTGTATATTCCGTTACAATCCATCATAATAATTTTATTAACTTTCACACCAACTATCAAAATTTAATCCAATTCATTTAGTAAAAATTAACAGTTTTTTCTTGGATGAATATTAATCTATCTATCTATAATATAATATAATATTTTTAAAAATATATAATATTTTTAAAAATTCAAAATAAAGTTTCTAAGACAAATTTTAAAAAATATTTTTGAAAACCTTTTCAAAAGATAAATTTAAGAAATATTTAGTTGGATTAAATTTGATTTACTAAATATTGATAATATTAATAAAGAATCTATCATATTTTGAAAAATAACATAAACAACGTTAAATATTTATAATATAAAGATTGTTTTTGGATTGGGTGGGAATTTAAGGAAGAGAATTTGAGGTGATTTAGAATAAATTCTGGAGTTGTTTGGATTAAAAGAAAAATAATAGATTTAAATATATTGGAGTGGATTTATTGTTGATGTGATAATTATGAATAAATATAAAAAAATTGAATAATAAATATTTTAGTGTAATAATTAAAATGCATTTGTTATGGTAATGGATAAATTAAGTATGAGTGTCATATAATTGAATAAAATAATATTAATTAATTTATATTATACATAATATTTAAATATATTAATATTATTTTATATATCAAATATAATTAAAATTATTTTATATATTAATTATAAAATATTTTTCGTTGTAGTTTAAATTATATATTTAAAAATTTTGATATTTAAAATTAATTTAATTAACAAAAAAATATTGTATTAATTTTATATGTTCTAAATAAATAATTATACCTTAATTTAAAATTAATTTAATTAAAAAAATTATACTCTCAATTCATTATTTTTAACATATAAATAATAATCTATATTTTCTTTTTACACCCCACCAAATTTTCTTATAAATATAATTTTAAGATTTATAACACCGCAACAATTTTTCTTATACATATAAATACTAACCTACGTTCTATTCTTATGTATTATTAATTATATAATTTAACTACTAATTAAGGAATAATTATTTTCATGTACAGTTGATTTAATTATTTAACTCTTCACTCGATTAACTTCTAAAAATTGACTACGCATTGAGTTTTTTTTTCAAATTAATCTTATACTAACCTTCCTACATAACTAATTTTTCATACTTATTTAAATAGGCACAATTTTTTTTCATATTTAACTTAACATATATGCCTAAAATTAATAAATAGTATCTTAAACATATTTCCACAATTGTATTTTCTAATTTATTACATGCAAAAAGTCATAAGATATTCTTAACAAATATATTCCATCTATAATTTGTGTAACAATTTCATCAACCATCAACATAAATAATACAAAAATTGATACAAAAATCACATTCAGAAGTCATATAATCAATTACCTGTGTCTTCATATTCGATTATCAATAACGATAATCGATTATGGTACTATACATAATCAATTATGTTACTATACATAATCAATTATGTAGTTCATCATAATCAATTACGCTTTATAATTTGTATGTCTATCAATGACACTTCAATACAACCAATTCATCCATGAACATAATAATTCAACAATAAATGCATAATAACAAATAACTTACTCGACGAAGCTGATGGACTCCTTGCTTTTTTCTTCTTCGTCTTTGAAACTAGAAAATGGATGCTAAGAATGGAGGACAAATGAAAGTGCAATGTATGTCACTTCTTCTAAACAATTATAACAATAACAAAGTGAGGAAATAACAAATGCATGACACAAGCAAAATAGATAATTAAATAAGTGAAACGAACAACACATTACATTTAACTACGAAGGACAAAATACTCAATAGAGTGGGTGGACGAAGGAGATCAAAATGCATATGTCACGACAAAACAAACTGGAAATGGTTGATGGGAATGGAGGGAGAATGAAACCGCAATCTTCAATTACAAGAATGATTGTATTTATGGAGAAGAAGACATTGTTCACGAAATACTATTCAACTTTATGAATAATACAAACTCCCTATGGTTTAATCTGCATAACCATACTCAGTCTCATGTTGTAATCTACAATTATTTTCAATGTATCTCAACACATGGTATCAATTCACTATCAGTTTACCATTTTCAATATGTGGGGGTGTACGAATATCTTCACATATATATTATTGTATATTATAGATATTTTAATCTTTCTATGTTAGGAATAAGTCAAAACTGAACCTTAGTTAGTTAAAAACAGTTAGTACTATAATATGTTAGTTGCTTTCCTTTTTGCTTCTGTACTGTGTATAAATACGTTCATTCATTTCACATAACATAGGAATTTCATTCATTCTTCTGCATGCGTGCATAGTTTCTATATGGTATCAAGAGTCAGAATGGTTTAGTGAGGGGTCTTCCAGTCCGTGAGTTGAGAAGTGGTTCTCTTGTTTGTGATTCTGCCAGACTGTGTGTGGCGTGTCAGGGTGTTTTTTTGTGAAGCACGTGTGAAGTTCAAGAAACCTATAGCAATTCTTCAAGAAACGTTCAAAAATCATGGTTGGACTTGGTGGATTCATTCCTGGAGGGTTGCCCATGTTCGATGGAAGCTGTTTTGATGATTGGAAGATCAAAATGCGCGCAGTGTTTGGATTCCAAGATGTGGCCGAAGTGATCGAAGTTGGAGTCGTCGATCCCGGTAGCAAGGCATCAGACGAAGAGAAGAGGAATTACAAACAGATGCAGAAGATGGATAGCAAAGCCAGGTATTTGCTATATCAATGTGTGAATTCTGAGATCTTTAACAAAATTTCAATGGCTGGAACGGCTAAAGAAATATGGGAGATTCTCATCAAGACTTACGGAGATAGTGACAAGCACAAGCGAGTGAAGTTGTAGGCCCTACGTAGAAGCTTTGAGTTCTTGATAATGGAAGACAACGAATCTGTGACGAGTTACTTCAACAAAGTTCAAAGTGTGGTTAACGCCATGAAAAGTTGTAACGAGACATTGTCTCAAGAACACGTGGTAAACAAGATTCTTCGTTCTTTGTATCCAAAGTTCGATCATTTTGTTATCACAATTGAAGAAACAAAGGACATCGACAAGATGAGTATTCAAGAATTACAACACTCGTTGGAGGCTCACGAACTGCGCATGAGTGATCACAAATCGTATCAGGAGTTGGTTATTCAAGCAAGAACTTCATCGAAGCCAAAGAAAGATACCAAGAGGGGTCACAAATCCA